GCCGGGGGTGCCGGGGTCTCCCTGCTGCTGCAGCACCAGCACAAACCACACGATCATCTCACCCCTCGCCGTTTGATGGCGTCTCTCAGGAGCCCCACCACGTTGTTCCCTTCCGCGCCGGAGGCTTTGAAGCCCTTGGTCCAGTTCAGGAGGATGCCCTGGAGCCAGGGTAAGACCAAAATGGGGCTGTGGGTGTAGCTGGGTCATGGGGACCCCCAAGTCCTTGTGCTGCCCGGCCACCCCCTCACCTTGTCGATGTCTTCGTGCCGCACGGGGAAGGAGAAGGTGAAGCCCAGGGGCAGCTTTTTGTGCTTCATCTGGTGCTTGTCCAGGAAATCGGAGATGCACTCGGAGATGTAGTCGAAGAGCTGGAAAAGAGGAGGTCCAGCCTTCGCCGGGGAATGTCCCCCATCCTCCCACAGCCTGCGGCCGGCCACCGTCCCCACCACGGGTCCCCCGAGCATGGCCACCTCCCTGCCATCCCCCGGCTTCTGCCAGCTGGAGGGATGAGGGATGTACCCGCCGGCCATCCCCACCAAAACGCAGCACGGTGTGCCCCTGCCCGGTGATGGGGACCGTGCGGGAGGGGATGGGATGCCCCGAGTGCCCAGCTCACCATCTCTGCCGTCCCCGTCATGGCATCCTCCGGGATGGAGTACATCTGGTGCTTCGTCTTCACCTTCCACTGCCCTTCCTCCCCCTCGCCCACTTTCACCAGCATCACGCGGAAATTGGTGCCGCCGAGGTCCAGCGACAAGAAATCTCCGACCTCTGCAAAGCCGGGGGGGACACACAAGGCGATGGGCTCAGGTGGGTCTTGGCCTCCCGCACCGAGCTCAGCGAGGTCCAGGGAAGAGGTGACATAGCAAAGGACCGGGAACGATGCCCGTCCAGCCCGGCAGTGCCGTACCTGAGCCCTCGGGTGTGGAGCGGACGTAGGTGGGCAGCATTTTGACAGAGGCTTCCTCGTGCGTCTCCAGCTTTAGCCCTCGGTCCATCTCTTTTTGCATCCGGTACATCACCTTCTTCAGGTCCTCCTCCTTCAGCCGAAACTCCGACAGGATCTGCTCCACC